ATGTTTCAAACCTTTATATTCTTCTTTGGTTTCTTATTGTCAGCACTGGTCACATCTAATCGCCTCTTCTTGGCTTTATTATCATCACTGTTATTATCACTGTTATCCTCCAACTGCTCAATTCAAGCTAAGTTTTCATTAGTAACTCATTCTTGCTATCTGTGAAAAAACACAAATACTCGCTTTAGAAAATTTATATATACACAAATATTTTATTGCTATACACAACTAAGTATGAGCGAGCGAGATGTGCACATGTTTGGAAGATAACATTCCACACGACTATATATCCCAGTCTCAGTTGGAAGGACATGTTGATCTAGAAAAAACTATAAACAATATTTCTAGCGCATATAATGTCACTATGTTCTGCTTCTTTCTTTGCTAAAACATTATTACACCGCTATTGAGGATATTTCCCGGCTATCACTAGTGTGTATGAGCGAAGTATTTATACGAAGATGAATGATGATTGATAAAGTTGAATAAACAATCTTCTGATTACAATAATACAATTCGATGCGGACCTAGGTTAAATTATTATTTATATTATTATTTAAGTGTCACTGAGATGCTTACCACTTTCTGCCAAAACGTTTCAAAATACGATTTCCATGCCGTCTTTGGGGAATTCATCTTTGAGTATCCAAACAAAACCATGCGATCCTTCTCGGGATGTTTTAGCATGCACACTTTTGTCTTTAAATAATATATTCTTTCTTTAAGATGCTTGTCTTATTTGACTCAATCCAGTGAACCAGCACCTATTTCATTTCCAATCGTATTAGGAGAGTGACAAAGATTATCCTTTTATGTCTTTTATCAAATAAAATTGCAATCTCCTCGTAGAACAGCCAAGAATGTCGTTGTAAAAAATTTGAATTTTGAAACGAATGCGCAACCTCGTTCCCAGGGTTTTCGCCTAATGTGGCGTCACACTTGTCGGTCGTTGGGGTTATTACACCGGTCGGAGATTGGCCTCAGATTTATAAATATTAGGACGAATGTATTATTACAACGAGGCTGAGTTTACTATTCGCTCATAGCCAACGAGGCTGAGTTATCTTATTGTTTTATTGTAAACTATAGCATTTAATAAGCAGCAGAATTTTGATATAATTTAAATAACCCGGCATATATAGACAATCCAATGAATATCCACAAGACATCTTCTGGATTGTCTTAATCAGCAGTGTTTTGATGTAAATAACTTTATTTGTAGATTACCAAATATGTTAGATAGAGATTAATTGTAAATAAGAAGACAACTTAAATATACAGTGTTACTTAAAATGAGCAAAGCAGTAACTATTATTTAGATGATTATGCACGTGTATTTGGGGAATAGGTATGTGGTATATGTATGCATTCAAATTACAGAAGTTTGCTGATTCATTATTAGTTTGAAATACATTTTCATGTCAACCACATTTCGTTCACATAGGTTTATACATTTTCACATGTAAGCCTTGTGTGATCGCATATAAACCACATGTGATCACATATGAACCACTTGTTTGTAGAGACATTTCTCATGTGAACCACATGTGTATCTCATATAACCACATCTGCATCACATGTGGTTCACATGTGCCCTCATAGAACCACATGTTTTCACATGTGAACCTCATGTGTATCCAATATAACCACATGTACATCACATGTGGTTCACATGTACCCTCCATATAACCACATGTGAACTACATATAATCACATGTGATCACATGTGATCACATGTGATCACATGTGAAGCACATGTGATCACATGTGAAGCACATGTGGTTCACATGTACCCTCCATAAAACCACATGTGAACCACATATAATCACATGTGATCACATGTGAAGCACATGTGATCACATGTGAAGCACATGTGATCACATGTGAAACACATGTGAAACACATGTGGTTTGCATGTGTTTTTTTCGTAAGGGATAATTGTAGGAAAAAAATATTCCCTGTGATATATCTTCATAGGAAAAAGTATCAAAACGGATTATTTTCAACATTAAAAAACCAAGATTATCTGATGATATCTGGTGATGGCAGGCATGACAGCATGGTTCTTAGTGCCAACTACTTCGCAGGGCCACGTGTTATGCCTACACCATATTTTGCTGTACAGTTCCATCATTCATTTTACACTGATGCTATATAAAATTTTTTTTATTCTTCCTTTCCTATTATGTAATTGCAGAACGAATATTCAATATATTAGTGTACCACATAAAAACTCATTATGACAATGGCTATCGGACGTCTATTGCATCGGAGATACGACTTGTGGTAAGCCAAATTCAATGTTATTTCTTGCGATTTTTCTATGATGTCTTACATTGTTTTTTTGTAAAGATTCTTCAATGTTTTCTCAGTCTGCGAGCTGACAACGTCAAGGCCTTGTGCAAGACAAAAGTGGAAAAGTCAAATTCACTTCGCATGTTAATTGTTCTGAGAGGAAAACGTTGGTTAATGATGATAGTGCAAGGCATGTCAGCTATTCTGCTTCCAAAATTCCTTTTCTTGTTAGTGTAATACATTCTCATTTTTTTTTAGTTCTGCAGAAGATAAGACAACCGGGATTGTTTCACTGCCTTACAGCGAGGCGATGAATGTTATTCCTGTGTGCTTACAACAGGTAAACTTTTCTATCATAATATATCATCTGGCATTAAGTTTCGATTGAAGTTCAACTTTCTTCATTTTCTAGAAATTGGAATGGGAGGTGTTGGATGTTGTTCTGAGAAACTTTCCGGAGGCACTGCAAGATAAAAACTTGATACATTCTCGAAAGCACTACTTACGTTCAATATGTACAGTGTTATCTAAAATGGTAAGGGATGTAAAGTTGTGCACTTTTCACACTAAAATCATGAACTAAAAATTTTACTTTGCATTCAGGTTTAAAATTATGATTTTCTTCCTGGATTATTTCGTGTTCCTCATGATATGCGCCGACCTCATTTGTACGCTAGAATTTTTCCAGTACGGTTCTTATCATTCAGTTTTTTGCATCTATCATAATATCTTACCATAACTATACCAAAACCATACCATACCATAACCATAACCATACCACATCATATCATATAATCATATCATATAATCATATCATATAATCATATCATACCATAACTAACCATAACCAAATCATACCATACGATAACCATATCATACCATACGATAACCATATAATCCCAAATTATATCACACCATACCATACCATGACCAAATCATACCATACGATAACCATATCATACCATAATTATATCACACCATACCATAGCATAACCAATTTATACCATAATTTATCATACTATACTAATGATTTAATTGGATATTTTATTGTAACATGTGCAGGTATTAACAGAGCTGTGTACGTACCACATTTTTATTGGGCAAGATGAACAGGTAAGAACCTGCTTCACTTTATTTTCAGCGGTTGTCTGTTCTCGCTTAAACGTTGTTGTATATTTCGTCTAGTTTTGTCTGATGCGTACTTTGGAGATTGGTTTGGTTGCTCATTCCACGACGTTAAGCGTATCTTGTCTCACCATATGTATGTTAGAAATGTCTTCAGTTATGGCAAGGTATGGCTACTTAAGATTGTCTGGAATTTGAGACGTTTTTTATGTCCATTAGCACTTTGTAAAGAATGAAGTTGATTTAAGTAATTGCAGCGTTTTAGAAGTTTATTACTTTGGAGATATTTGAAATCGTGCCTTGATAATGTGCTCAGTGAATTTACAGAAATGTTTTTCAATAAACTCCAGCCTAAATGTAACGTCTCTTGTTATGCGAGATACTCCTTCACAAGATTATTTGGGTAATAATTTCTAAATTTTTCTGTCCTTAGGCTGCTCCCAACATATCTGGAAAAGTTTACTAAACTTTCGCCACGCCTCAAGTTGTCATACACTGTTAGAATTTCTCTCTGGTATGTTTCTTGAAGTTACAGAAATTAAGAAATCTTTTATGAAATATCAATGTACCCCTAAGGAGAGCTAGGTTGTATAAACACTCAATCGTATTCGACGAAAAGTTGCTAACATTCTTTTAAAACGTTTAAATAGCATTGTCAAAGCTTCGTGATTAGTACAAAAACTTCACAGCGATCCATTTGAAACAAGTCATTGGAATATGTTTGCCTCACACAGCATCATCGAGGTTTGTTTAACGCGATAACATCTCAAACTTTATATTATTGGCTTTGTGAAATTGAATAAAATATAAACGAACTGATATGTTTCACCTTAGATACTCTCAATACACGGTAACTCTTGCTGATAATGTCATTTCATCCTGGTTTGTCAACTGTCCACTGTTGTTAAGAAAACAATTCGTGCCATTGATTACAAAAGTAAGTCCACATGTCATTCTATGGCCACGGAGATTGCTTGCTAAATTTTCAATAGATATTAAGAAGTGGTGTTTAAACTTTATACAGCTTAGGCAGTGTTGTTACATAAACTTGTCCATTTCATGTTACATAATTTTGCTTATATGCAAGCTCGTTTTCAATCATTTGTCCTTGTATTCCTTTAGAGTCTTAACAACGCAGATATATCTTCAGATGCTGCAAAACCCATACCCTTAGTCACTAATCCCCCACCAATTCCATTCACTCCCAAACTCCCTTGAGAAATCAAAGGAAGACTCAAGCAACACACTTAGTTCAGAGATGATGGAAATCGTGGGTGATATGATGGTCAAATACATTTTCTTCTTATTTGACCCAACCAAAAAGGTCTGTATGTTGGTTTCGTATTTTTCTGCACTGTGTTTCAGGAAGATGACTATTTGTTGTTTTTATAGAACTGCAGTTGTTGAACGACTCCTGCGCAATGGAGCGTCAAGAAGTTGGTTGCTTGGCAATGTGTTGATCACGGTTACGGTCAACAAGCGGGCAACTTCGAACATGTCATGCGCATATTGTTCGGCAGGAAAAGTGTTTGTGTGAGATGATTCACTGCAGAAGGGCACGGAGCCTGAGGTTTTAAAAGTTGAGCTTAAGAGAAACAAAAACGAGGCCTCAATTAGTCAGGTAAGGAAAATTCTTTCAGTATCATTGTTTAAATTGGCATACACTGTCTGCCCAGCGTATTCATGCTTAAACAACAAAATATATTTGCAAGAGCGACAAGTTTTAATATTCTTCTAGTGAAAGCTCTTAGGAACGTATTTGACATTTCCATTGATAACGACAGTAATATCGTGTGTTTGAACGTTAAAGATGAACTCAGGGATATTCTAAACAATACAAATTATGGCCCTAGAGTTAATTTCCGATAAAAACCTGTCGAAGTTGGTTCGTCATATTGCAATGCATGTTAAATAAATTTGGTCAGTAACTTAGGGCAATTTAAATGTCCGGATGTGATATTGACGGTATACGAATGTTTTTCTTTTTAAGATTGCGTCAGTTATTCACCAAAATCAGAAGAAAACTACAGATACCTAGGCTGTAATTGGTTACAAAGAATACGTCAGATCAAGAGGATTCGAGCTAGAGTTTCTCATGCGGTACCGGAACAATGTAGGTCGCTAGACTTAAGAAAAGACGCTCGTAATATAATAGATTTTACAAAATATATCCTTTGGTAATTCTTATGAGTTGCAATACAACCTTTACAATTGTTCATCCTTCACTGATGAGCTCAGAATGTTTCGTTATCACGTGGTCAATGCACGACTCTTGCCCTGGAGGAGGAACCCAATCCGGATATAAATGACTTTTTTATCTAAAGTACTTCACGGAAATGCCTTCAGTTGAAATATGAAGAAAGTCGGGCTGATGTTTCAAAGATTTTATGACGCGAAGTTGAATCTTGGTTCATCGTTTCTTCAACGAAACGGGCATTGATAAGACTTCACAGATAAGATATCACAGTGGAAGCCAGTGCTCTTTCGCTGTAGCTTGCCTAGCGGCACAGAGGTCTCAACAGATGGTAGGAAATGACAACAGAGAGCGAACATGATAAAATTTTAATGAATAAAATTATTCCGAAAATAACAAAAAAGATCAACCTGGTTGGGTGACATCTAGAGGTCTAATTTTATTCTTTCTCCAACTATGAGATTTGATGTGAGCCTCATTTTTGTTTCTTCTGTCCATCTATTATTTCTTGAAAACAAATACCATGAAACATGGTTCAAAATATTGAGACATTTTATAAGCACGATGTTTGTAGAATACTTTGCAACGCTTAACAAAAATCCGTAACTGGTATTTTCAATTTGTGTTTATAGCTTCAATCTCGTTCTACTGCAGTTTCCGATAGCACAAATGAAAGGTAGGATACATTAATTGTAATTTAAATTTTAATCTAAATTTGATGAAGTATCGTATACTTCAAAACCTTGAACACCACTTTGCTGGTATTACTAAATGACGCTCAGAAAACTTCGAAACATTAATTTTGCACTTTAGCGAGTTTCGAATTATGGAGTTTTTTATGCTGAGAGAAGAAGCACTGGCTGAAGCCGTTGCTAGATCATTCCTCATTTTTTTCATTTTCAGTAATAATCAGTATTATTCACTCGCATATATTTATGTATCTTTCTCTCTGTAGTGGCATTCGCAAGTAAGTGAAAGGAGTGAGCCGTTTGAACCCGTTCTTACTTACGGTCACTTATTGAAAATTACTAGCTATACTATTTACAAAAAGTGCTGAAAGACTTCTCTTTAGGCCTCGACTGAAAACCATTATTCCATTGCACTCTTTCATTCATCTCTATAAAAAAAATCACTTTATATTTTGAAACATCTATGACATGAAGAGAAAGTGCAACATTTGGAGAGAAAAACTCACCAAGTGGAAAATTATCAAAGAAAGCCAAGTCAAACCTTCCCAACCTTAAAATTTTCAACCCGTCACCAGAGTTGTCGATGGGAATTAAAACATTTGTTGAAGTTTGCAAGTCGATTGTATTGCTACAAATATCACGAACATTTTTTTTAATTTGTTTTTATTCTAATATCCATTCTACTTTACATATTTCAGTATAAAGTTGTTTTGTATTGACAAGCAATTGCTTTTGACTTACAGATGTGATTTACTACAATATTGAAAATGGCTTGATTAACGAAGGTGGACTTGGTGGAGTTGTTGAGGATTATGCCATTGCAATGGCGACATAATTGATGAAATCAATGGCGAAAAGAATTCTTTAGTCAACTAGAGTCGTGTTAGAGTACCATGTTTAGAAGGCGCTTGCGACGGACGACGAAAAACAGCGATTAAATTTGCAAAATATGGCTGAAATTGTGTTTTAGGGGGGGTTAAGTGAAATGAAATATGTCGTATCGCAACAAAACATCGTTATTTCTTTGGAAATTTATAATAAATATATTAAAAGCATTTTTTTCATCATATGGCGAACATTTTTAGAAAATAGAAAAAATTAGACTTTTCCGGGTGAATCAGTAATTTTATGCCTAATTAGCAGTTGACCTGGAATGGTAAACATAATTTGCTTGTAAAATATAAAACTGATGATAATTTCACCCTTCAGTGACCACCCCTAAAAGCAACCATTCTGAACCATATAAGCAATTCAGAAAGACTGTAGCTATGGCGGTTATGACCGCCATGGTCATTTTACCCGAAAACAATTGAGATAACCTGTTTTGCATGAAATGCACACAAACTCCTTTACAGGGCCTTGACTAGTAAATATACCTGAGTTACACGGGCTGTTGATATCACAATTGTTTATCTCTTCACGCACTTGCAATAAATCACATCATTAGCAGGGGATGGGTTAACTTTGCAATTCCGGACTTGACTTAAAATGTTCATATCAGAGAGATGTCGCTATTGGAGAGGTACATATTAAGACATGTTTACATTTTCAATTACTGCTGCCATCTTCTTTTGATATATGTGAACGAGTAGATAAGTTATGGATTTTTCTGATAACAGCACCGATTTCATGTATTGAAATGCAACGCTCAATACCCTACACACAACTAGTAGCGTAGTAAAATTCAAGATAAATGGTACGATAATTTATTCAGCTTTAGAGAGATTACATGTTTTGACGTTTTGGGTTCATTACGAGAGCTGTTTGGCACTGCTACTTTAAACGCAAGTCGAACGGGAATTTCTTTAATATTTATTGAAAATATATTCTATAGAAAAGATTAAGTTTAACTATATATAAGTAAAAGGTATAAAGATACATGCATTCCAATCATTTTCTTAGTTCATACGATGAATCAAACTAAACTTAAACATTAACATAAACACTAATCACACTACAAACATACATGCAAACAGATAAAGTTCAGTACCTGAAGGGTGGATCCCCGTAGGACTTTGTCTAACACAACTATTTGTAAATCAACCGTTCGTTCTATCTCGTACTTCTCCTGACGCTTAACTGATTAGCAGTCACTCGTACAGTATCCTTTTATTAACTTAATGACTAACATAACTAGATATATTTATTACATTAAAATTAATTTGATTATGATGGAATGTTGTTGGCTATTCAAACCAAGAGCTAAATCCAAACAAGGCTACAGGACCCGATATTATACCTCCTATTGCTTAACGAAAGATAGCAGAAGAAGTCTCTACTATGCTTAATGCTAGCCTCCTCCGCAAGCATATCTTATGTATTAATATTAGGCATTTATATTTCGCTTGGGTTACCTGTGTCGGGGTAGGCGAGGAAAAAGTGGGAGAGAAAAAAAGTGGTGTATATTTGAACTGCCGTATGATCGTTTGTTGGTATCATGATTTCATTCTGCTGGGAAATACTCAATGAAAATGCCTCACTTGAGTCGTTGTCAAATTTGTATTTCAATTGACACATCTTGTTAAAAACATACACATCAGGCCTCTGTGTTGGATGATGATGACATCATCGTCTTTGCATATTGCGATTCTAACTACAGAAGATATTTTGTCCTCGAGCAAATCTAATTTGTCTTCTGCTTTTACATTGTAATTCTCGTTCAATATCGTCAACAGGAATCCTTCACCAGTATGTTTTTAGCACGTAAACATTGTTATTGATATCAACAGAAAGGGCCATTAAAATATTGCCTGTAAATTCAGGTAATTCAATCCGTTTAATTTTTCCTTCCTCCTGGATAATCATAATTTTCTCATAAGGTGGAGTACGAGGGAAAGTAAGAACACCCCTGACTGTTCACAGCATATGGAGAAGCTCTTTTTTTTCATGAAGGGTCTGTTCGTTTGGAGGATGAGGCAATTCCTCTTTTATAGAATTTCTTGCTGAAATTTCGTGCCAGCTTATTATTGAATGAAAACTGCGAGTGGGAAGTTCAATCGTTGGCATGCAGGCGGACACTTCAAATGAACATTTATTACTGAATTTGCAAACATATTGAAACAACACATAGTTGATTAACATAACCGACAGACGTTCTCCACCCGTTGAGTTTTATTCAACAACGATTTGACTCCATCGTTCAAAGACACTGAGAATATCTCTTGAATCATTGAATGGCTTGTAAGCTATGCAGCTTCTTCCAAAACGATAAACATTCGGTGATTGCGGTCTCAGGATAATCGAGATGTTCCACTATTTTTGAAACTATTCGTAGCTTTGCTGCAAAAAATTCGATCTTCGATACTAAATGCCTCATTCCAGAAAGCAGTGGTTGCTGCCTTGCGCGCTTCCTCGAATCTTTTTCTCGGAGTTTCTAACTCTCTGTCCGAGTTGATTTTAAGCTTTTTCCTGGCTGGAGGAAGCTCTATTGCTTGGTTTAAGATACCAGACAGAATAACGCTCGAAAGTTCACCTGGTTCGTCCTGAGTTTCGCTCTCTTTCTGCTAAAGATTTGATTTATCGAGAGAAACACTGAGTAACTCTATTCCTTCTTCTAGAAAATTATAACTGGCGAGTGAAGTTGATCTAGAAAGGCCATCGATTTTAGACTTGATATCATTATAACTCGCGTACGACAATCTTACGAATTTCGCCGTCTTTCAGTTTGTCTGCCGTCGAGGCTATGACCTTATTCCATAATAAACCAAGTTGTTGAACTGAGTATACTTGTCACAATTAAAGTCGTATCGCGTTTCTTATTAACTGTACCCAAAAATTAAGGCTTTATTAAAAGCATCTGCTAAAAGGTGAGGAGGCAAAACATCATTTAGAACCGAAGCTTCTTGAAGCGATACGAAAGCGTGCGTCGTGGTTTGTCTAGAACGTCGTGGCCTTTAACCTCTGGCTTGGACCGATGGTAGAAATTTGGTGGAGGAGAATTCGAGATTTGTTGTGACACTTGAAGATAATCTTGTTTAGGTGCTGACGTAGATAAACCAGGTGATTCGTCATCTAACAGGGAAATAGTTGGAATGGATTCCTTGTGTTTCTGCACTTCGAACTCCGGAGCGCAAGAGTACATCGTCCGGTAGGAATGTAAGCCATGAATGCTGCGATGTGCATCTTTCGTTCGTCTGATGACATGCCTTTCCAATCGGCATATGTTTTACGAAACATGTGGTAAGCTGGTGCTAGGACGTAAGGACCGTCATCATATATGGCTTTGACAACATTGCTAAATAAACGGATACTGCATGCTTTCAAGGCATCTAGGCACTCTGAAAGTGTCGCGTCTCGATGACTACGACCCTCTGAATGCACGTGGGCGGATATTTCATCTTTTGACAAGACGTTTTGCCACTCAATTGGATTTTGGCCGCACACTCCGTCAATGGAAGCTTGCTTTCGAACGTTTTTAATCATTTTGTCCCTCATTTGCTTCTCTTTATGAGTTTCAAAATAATCCACGAACTGACTCGCGGGACGATTGCTGGTGTGTTCCTTTTCTATTTGAAGCCATTTTGATTTCAGTTGCAATAGCTTACGGTTGTAAATATGAGTACTTTCGCTTCCGTATCTTCTTCTTTGCACGTGGCACCACCGAAAATATCACTCAGGATAATTTTTTTTTGGATTGAAGGAAAATTTAACGACTGCAATTTTTTATCTACATTTGCTTGGGCATGCTCTTTGCCCAAAAGGTAAATGGTCTTTCCACTCGTTTCCTTAAGAATCCCGCTAGAAAGTGCTTCGTCTTCATCTGTACCAAAAGCAAGGATGTTGGCAAGAGCCGGATTCCCTCTTTTCACTGCTTGCCAAAAATATGCGAAATCCTGCGCTGATTGATTTCGATGGATCAGAAATGGTCCTGGAAACCAGGGATTCCTTAAACTCTCTCTTCCAATTACTGACATCTGCTTGTAGGTCGTTTGTGTCACGAGATGATTTGCAATGTTTAATGTAGTGTCACAAGCCAAAGGCGTAGTAAACCTGGGATTTGCTGATGAATGCTTGATTCTTGTCAAGCAAATCTGGGTCCATTTCGTCAGCAGTGGGTCTTTGCTCAAGGAGTTTAAGGATAACTTCCTGAATTTGATCGATACTAGATCTGGTTTTTGTTTCCCCATACAAATAACGGTAATTATACAGCTGCTTGGTATCCCGAATAGTGGTTGACTGTAATGGAGAATCAAGTTAATTCAGATACTTCGATTTTTCGTCTTCAATAACCCTTGGGGCACGAACATCTGTATGAACCGTTTCTTTCACTTCTTTGTTGAGAGAGTGCTCTCTTGAAATAAAGGATTTGGCGTGCGGACGTGTTGTATTTCCATGCGCTGTTGCGACTACGAGGACGGCATTCCCGGTGTTAAAATAGTAATGCATGATAATCGTGGAACATTTCAAAGTATATGACTTCAAATTCTTTAGACGACTATAAGATTCATTATATTCTGCTATTAGCATAATAAATATGACATATCTTGTAAATTCCGTCTGATACATTTTCATCGTATTCTTATGCGTTGCTCTTTTTCTAACTACAGCGTACAAGAGCTCCTTGCCTACGATCTGCCGAACCCAATTTCGAGCATCGCGGACGTCGCAGGTACCACCAACGATAATGCCATTGTCGTCTTTGTTCACCGAGACCTCTGTAAGTCTCTCCGTAACCTTAACTTCATAAAACCTAGTTTGCTATTTTTCTCATAGTACCCAAGTGTTTCATAAGTTTCGATATCAAACGGATGCTTTACTTTTGCAAGTTTTTGGCCGACAACGA